GGGGGATGAGATGACTTTTGCCAGTATACCAAGGGATGTAAAAAAATGTCAGACATGGTGGCTCACACATGTAATACCAGCAACATGAGAAGCTGAGGCAGGAGGATCACAAGGTTCAAGAACAGCCTCAGCAACCTAGAGAGACCTGCCTCAAAAATAAAGAGCCAAGCACCACCATGTGTGCCTATAATTCCAGTGACTTAGAAGATTGAGACAGGAGGATCACAATTTCAATTCCAGCCTCAGCAACTCAGTGAGGCCCCAAGGAATTTAGCAAGACCCTGTCTCAAATTTTTTTAAAAAGGTGAAGCCACTGGGAATGTGGCTCAGTGGTAAAGCACCACTAGGTTCAATTTCAGTACCAAAAAGTTTAAAAATTAAAAAAGAAAAATGAAAGATTGTATAGAGTAAGATGTGTTTGATTAGAAGACACTGGCCAAAAAAAAAAAAAAAAAAAAGTACAGGACTTTTATAGCTAAAAGGGACCTTAAAAGATCTGTTCTAAAATCCTCTAATTCCAAGATGGAAAAAAGAAGACTCAAAAAAGCCAAAAAAGTTTTACACAAAGCTAATGAGGAGCAATGTTGGCAAAGAATTCAGGTCTTCTGATTCTTTTTCATTAAGCATGCTGGGAAAGCACAGTACCAGGTGCCCTTAAAGAATCCAAAAGAAATACAACCAAGTTTCTCTACCTTCAATAACCTTGGAATGTTGCTGAGTTGATAAGTCACACTAAAGAAAGGGAAGAAAGAAAGAAAATACATAAAGAATGTTAATCTTTTGTACTATAGAAATATATTAGGCATCTAGGAACTGGATTTCAACAACTAAAGGAAGATTAGGGATGACACCAAAAAGAAACCAAGCCAGGCATAGTGGCACAAGCCTGCAGTCCCAGATATTTGGGAGGCTCAGGCAGAAAGATCACTTGTAGCCAGAAGTCTGAGGTCAGTCTGGTCAACACAGCAAGACCCTGTCTTCCTTAAAATAAACAAACAGATGGAACCACAAGGCAAATCAGTGATAGCTTAAGTGGTAGTTGAAGCAAAACAATCTTGATAACTTGTGTTGGAAGGGCATGAAATACAAGGGAAGAAACTGAAGAGGAATTAATAGAAAGATAAAAAAAAAATAGACTGCTGTCATTAAAATGAAAATGAAAACAAAAGGGCAGATGGCAAATCAAGCAGCTTATGTTTACAAAATTACTTTAAATTATAATACATAACTAACAAGCTGCACAAGTTCTAAGTGTAAGAAGTTCACAAAGCAGGTTTTGGCTCACTGATTTCTACCAACAAACCACTGATGGAGCTGTGCTTATAAAAACAAAAACACAGAATGAAAGAATTCTATTTTCCAGACAATTGTGAACTTTGACATTTCACTTCTTTTTTTTTTTTTTT